CATTAAATAAGAAGTTAATCACAATTTTACCAAAATAAAATAATGAAAGATTTGGCTATGTTGTTTCTAGATGATGCCATTAACTTATGTTTGTCTAGATATTCAATCAAGAGGATGATGAATTGTAGCTTAATTTTCCTACTATCTTTTAATTGTGAAGTTAGGTGATTGTTGAAGGCATCATTGATAACATGCTAAAACTACTCATTAATTACCTTAAAGTGAATATATTTTAGGATCAAATGTCTTATTTTAGCATGTTATCATATGTAAAATAGCGAAATAATAATTTTATAATGATTCTAAGAGAATTTCCTATTTTAAAAATATTCTCGGATTTTTTATGATTCAATTTTGAATTTACTTTGATATATTTAAGCTATGAGGATATTTAAGTAATTTATGGAAATACATATATTTTATTTGACATATTCTAGGGGGTTTTCTGAAATTTTATGCACGTGTCAACTGCTAGATTTTTATATATTTGATGCGCCGTCGTGATCGCGACGGTATGATTATTTAAATTCATGAATATTTTATTCAAGCCGCATTTTACGCGGAATGCGAGAAGACGAGGTATCCCACGCGGAAGCCGAGAAGACGTTGACCGCCATCAATGATTGCACCTCTTATTTTGGTGACTAAGGACATCATCAAAAGCGGCAGTTACGTCTTGTCACCAAAAGTGGCGGCTAAGCACGTTCTCGCACGAAAAACGGCGCGTAAGCATGCTCTCCACTAGGAACGGCGATTAAGCACGTTTTTCCACTAAAAGTGGCGGTTAAGAACGTCTTGTCACGTAAGCGGCGGTTAAAGACGTCTCTTCTCAACCGTCACCTTTCGGTGCTCCTTTTGCGGCGGAGACACCCAATCAACACCCCAGATTTCTCCATCTTCTAAGATTGATATTTGGCGATCTAGAAGGGGTTTCAAGCCCAAATTTTGTGGGCACAATCTTCAAGATGTCCTCTTCACATCTCCATGTTCGGATCGAAAATCAGCTTGAAGAAGGTTATGAATACAAGGTAAAGGAGTTAAAGATATTTTGAGAAAGGGCTAAAGGTATTTTGGGAAAATTTCCTTCATTCTTTTTTCTTCTCATCTTCGTGGAAGGATCCCCAACAGTAGTTGGTTGAAGTAAAACAGCTTCTATTTTAAAGATCCATTCTTCCTCCTCTTCTATGTAATCTTGAGTAATTAGGAGAGGCCTTAAAGGCAAAGTTGAGTGTTGAGGATCGAGTTGCAAAGAGTAAAGTGCTAGAGATCAACCTGTCAGAGTAAATCGCTTGAACTTGACAATAGATAAAAGCCCAAGTTGAGCAATCTTCTTCTCTATACTTTTTGTTTCCTTTCCTTTTCCTCTAGGGTGAAACCTAGGGTTTTAGATATATTCTTAGTAGTTACATTATTCCTTGTCAACCCCAACCATTCTTTCTCATTAAAATATTTTCAAAACTTCTTTTCTACACCTCTTAGGTCAACCCTAATCTAGGGTTTCTTCCATTACATCCTATTTCATCCATATTTCTCATCTCCCACTCATCTCCCATCTCTATTTCTCTTATCTATTTTATAACCTTTTTCCTTCTCATTACTTAGGTTTTTCTTAAAATCATTAATTTTTCTCCTTGTGGTTTGACCCCTATATTACCCTCTCTACTTATTAGATTGATTAGGATAGTGGAAATATGAATAGTTTTAGATAACCTCACTTAGGACCTATGACATCCCACGTATCAAGTTATCAAATGGCGCCATTGTCGACGAGAAAACACTTTGATCTTGTGATTTTTGACTCTGGTGAGTGTTTTTGAGTTTTCCTTGACCTAGATTTTCAAGAAGACATTTAGGTAGCTGGAAAAAAAAAGAAGAGAAGTTAAGCTTCATATTGGTATAATTTGAAGGATACCATATTATTTTTGAAGTCTATAATTTTTTAAAAAAAAATCCAAATTTTTTCTCAATGTTTTTCACATTTTTATGGATTTGGGAAATATTTTCAGAATTTTCTAAAAAATTCAGACTGAAAAAGGTATTTTTTGCATAATTAAACTGAGAAAAAAAAATATTATATATAAAAAAAGGCATCTAAAAATCTAGTGGTACTTGAGATCAGTAAATTTGCATGAAACTTAATTTTCTAATATTTTTATGATATTTGATGGTTGCTACTAGGTCTCTACACCCTAAATTGATAAATTTAGATTCATGTTTTGAGGATATTATTGAAACTCTTACGGATAACCCTTCATCTTCTGTTAATTTTGTCGAGGGAAACTTTCAACAGCCTACTGAGGTGGATCAATTCCCTAATCAGATGGTGAGAAGATCCATGAGAGATTATTCTATCTCCTTTGAGAAGCGTCCTATTGCAAGAGTGAATGCCCACATTAATAATGAAATAAATAATGCATTGTTAGGTATTTACCTATCTTTTATGGTTTGCGTAGGGAGGAGCTATATAATCACCTTGAAGAATTTTCTTCTAAGTGTGAATTTAATTGAATCGAAGGTGTTTGAGTAGAAACCATAAAAATGAATCATCACTTTTGATTTGTGGAATGAAATTGAAAATTTTTTTTTGAAGAAGTTTTATTCTCTTGGAAAGACTAACACTTTCAGGAAGATGATCAGAAAATTCTTTCATATCAACTAATGTTTCAAAATATTTCTCAAAGAAGATAATTTTTAATGAATTATATAATAATAAATAGAAATAAAATATATTTAAAATTCACAAAAAAGAGAAGTAAGGGTGTGGACATTAGTATGATGTCAACACCCGGTGAACACGAATTAGGTAAAAACAGAGTTCTACCTTATGATTCTTATGTAAGTGATTACAGACGATTTAATTGATCAAAATAAAATTTGTAAAAGCCAAAAGAATTAAATTAAATGAAGAATAATTTTGTAAATTTAAATCATAAAATTATCACTAAATGATGCAAAAATTAAGTTGAAAGTAAAAAAATAGAGTTTCAACGTCACGAGGACGATGCAACAGCAATGCACCGGAATCTGGAGTGTTCAGGAAGATTGTTATGTAGTGTCTACGACTTTGAAGGCTCTCCTTATACAAAGATGACGTGGACAATCTCTAGATCTTCTTATAAAGTCTAGAGATCAATGAAATGAGTATTTAGTAGCCGTCACCCGACGGAGTAAAAAAATAGTGACTTTGCAACTCTCTAGCAACTGTCACCTAATGAAAAAAAGCTAGATAGAGGTGGGGCGCATGTCAAAGAGCTTCATCCTCAGGTCCGTGCAGCAAAAGAAGGCTCTTCATTACATCTAGTATGCTCTCAAGAGGTGGTGACTCGTCTCCCAACAGATCATCTTCTTCTCGACGACGACTTGTTCATCGATCAATCGGAGATAAGTTACTTGATAGATTTGTGATCTTTTTATTATGAATTGTTCAATAATTTTAGTAACAATGCTCCGCGAATCATGTTGACAAGATTTTTGCTGATGATCAAACGATTCTGATAGCTTAATCCTTCAGCTGCGGTTTGCATGAAAGTCATAATTTAATTAAATAAAAATACAAATTTTGGCTCTCGTAGGATTCAAACCCACACTTGTCATCCGCCTGCATGAGAGAGAGAGAATAAGTTCTTGAATACCCTTATATAGTGATGTCATCATGGTATCTTGCTGTTATAAAGGAAAAGTATTTTAGGTATTAAAATCTTTGAAAACATTCTAGGGAAGGTATGAATACCAATTTAGTCTCACATCGGCTATACGTTGAATGTGAAGACACATGTATGGTAATACAAGATTTGGGAATCAATGAATCCCTTTCTCGTGTGTGTGTGACCACTCCTTACCTCACAACTGGCAGGCCATCAATGACGTGGAAGGGGAGTGACACACACATGCCCCCATCAGTCTATAGCCGCTCGAGCCCCTACTCGTGGCTCTACCTTGACTACGCTTCCAACCCCCTTGTGGGTTTGATTGGTCGGCAGGTCCCCCCTTTTTCTATATTTTTATTTTAATTTCTTTTTCTTTATTTATCTCAAAAACATGATTATTAAAATTATATAAATTTGTATAAAATCACATAATTAGCCAAAAAATCACATTAACTAACTAAAAACTACTTTTCACAAATTAACATAATTATAAATCTATTTATTCATGAGTTAAGGCTAAAACTATATTATTTATTAATTATTTACTCATGATAATGAAGACTTATCACCCCTTAATAGAACTTGTATCATGAAAGGCCTCCTCTATTAGAGGCCATTGATGCATATGAGACTTGTATAATGAAATTACCTAGTCACCAATTCAATAGCGTCTTGGACTAAAAAGCCCATGTTGTATCATCTTCCTCTATTAGCACAATTGTAAACTAACATGACTTAGTCTTTGTATATTAAATCACGCAAATCTAAAATTTATAAAACTAGAAAATACGAATTTTTGGATATTTAGAAGTATTTCTAAATAAATATATCAATTATAATTCAATAAAATTTCCCAAAAAATTAGTAATTTTCTAGGTCGATCACAAAGATGTAATATAATACCTGGTAATTATTCAGAATTTTTCTCAATGAATACGATTTTCTATGAATTTTATACTAGGAAATGAAAAAAAAAAAAATTAAAATTCACAAAAAAGGGAAATAAGGGTGTGGACGTCAGGATGACGTTAGTGCCTGGCAAATGAGAATCAGGCAAAAATAGAGTTCGGCCCGGTGATTCTTATGTAAGCAATTACAGATGATTTAATTAATCAAATCAAGATCTATAAAAGCCGGAAGAATCGTAATTGAACGAAGTATATTTTGGTAAATTAAAATCACACAAATTATCACTAAATGAAGCGTAAAGTAAGTTGAAAGCAAGAAAACAGAGTTCCGGCGTCGCGACAACGATGCATCGGCAATGCACTAGAATCTTGAGCATTTGGGAGGATCGTCGTGTAGTGTCCACGGCCTCAAAGGCTCTCCTTGCGAAGTCTAGAGATTAATGAAATGGGTCGTCGAATTGTCTCCGGCGGCTGTCACCTGGCACAGCGGAAAAACGGTGACTTTGCGGCTCTTCGGCGATTGTCACCCGACGGAGAGGAGCTGGATGGAGGTGGGGCGCATGTTAGGGAGACTTCATCCTCAGGTCCGCGTAGCAAGAGGAGGCTCTTCATCGCATCCGGTACGCTCTCAGGAGGTGGTGACTCGTCTCCTAGCAGATCGTCCTCTTCCCGACGACGGCTTGTTCATCGATCAATTGAAGATGCTTTACTCGATGGATTTGTGATCTTTCTATCGTGAATCATTCAGCAATTTTAGTAACAATGCTCCGCGAATCATGTTGACGAGATTTTCGCCGATGATTTAGAAATTATGGTTGCTTAATCCTTCACCGGCGATCTGTAGGAAAGTCGTGATAATCAAATAAAAAAATATGAGTTTTGGCTCTAAGAGGATTCAAACCCGCGCCGGTTGCCAGCCACTTCTGAGGAAGGTGTGATGCGGGTTTAGTCCCACATCGGTTGTGTGCCGATTTTTCAGACGAATATATAGTAATGTTACATTTCTAAGCAAAGTTCCTTCTCTCGCATGTACGACTACTCCTTGCCCCACAACTGACTGGCCACCGGTGACGTGAAAAGGGAGTGGCACACACGTGCCCCTATCAGTCCAAGCCACTCGAGCCCCTACTCGCGGCTATTCCCTGACTGAGCTTCTGACCCGCTTGCAGGCCCGGCTGGCCGACGGGTTCCCCTCATTTTGTCTTATTTTTATTTTTATTTATTTTTCTTTATTTATCTCAAAAGTAAGATTGTAAAAATCATATAAATTCATATAAAATTATATAATTACCTAAAAATTCACATTAATCAATTGAAAACTACTTTTCACACTTTAACACAAATATAAGTCTATTTATCATGAGTTAAGGCTAAAACTATATTATTTACTAATTATTAACTCATGATAATGAAGGCTTATCATGAACTCTGTAGCTTGATTCTATTTCATGTATATCATGTGCTATTGGAGACTTCTCTACTTAGAAGCTTATTCTATATCTATCTATAATTTACCATGGTCATTTGACAATTATATAAGTCTGGTGGTCAATCCTTATGTGTTCTTGAGAAGGTAGCTAAGATTGGTTTGTGATCACAATAATATTTGGATGGTTAAGATATAAACCTTTTTTATCACCTTTTTAATGCTGTCTACTAATATTGGTATTCTTTTTTTTTTAATTTTTTACCCATGATAGATGGGTATTTTGATTAATAAATGATTAACGCAAAATATTATTTATATATCTAGAAGATGGGTGGCTTGGCAAATTGTTGGTATTATTCACTCCCCCAAGTGGGTCCTCAAATCAATATCCTCCATTAATATGTGGTTCTCTTACAAGATCAATGCTTTTATCATCATCTAGATTGGTACGTTATATAGCTCATTTTTTTCCTAAGATTATGATTTATTATTCTCATGGAAGATCTTGTTTACTCGGCATCGACTATAAATAGATTCATATAAGTCCAACCTTAACAGAAATATAGTAATTAGATGTGTTATCATAGTTCCTATGCGAGGGTAAATATGGTGAGAACTTACCAAAAATAAGCCTAGTAAGGTAGTAAGTTTATCACAAGAGCTTGTTGAACCAATACATTGATTACATCGACATGAAATAAGTGAGTTAGTTGTGGTATTGAACAGCCTCCTCATACGTGATATTGATCTAAATTTCATTCTGTGACAAATTTTCTTAGCCAATAATATAAAAAATGGCCAAAATTATTAAACTTTATTCATAAATGTCCCAGCTCTATCCTATCTGCAGTAAGAATTATATTTTTCCCTACAAAAAATTGCATCTATTAGTTTTAGTTTTTCCTATTTCCTTAAAAATCCTGCTTCTGAAAAATTGGTATGCCCCGTCATCAAAAAATACAAGTTTTGAAGCCATTTCCGTCTAGAGCGATGCAGGGTAATGGGTTCTGCATGTAGAGAGAGAAAGATCGTCTTCCCGTTCGTCTCCTCCAGTCGCCTTCTTGTTCTTCTTCTCCACTCTCTAAGCAGTGTAGGGCTATGGCATCTCCGTGTTAAAAAAAAAAGAAAAAAAAAATCCAGTTTGCAGAGCTTCGGAGTGAGAATCTGGAGGAGCGAGAAAGGCCCTAGCTGGCAATTCGACCAAACTCATCGTAGAAGAGAAAGCAACAAGGTGCGTAAAACCCTAGCTCGCCATCAGAAGAAGAAGAGGCCATCCACGGTCAACAACAACACGGCCATCACCGTGAGCGAAACCACGACAGAGAGGCCGCAATGGCCCCGACCTGCATCTGCTCTCGGTATGTCGGTGGGTAGAGCGCACTCCTCGCCATTGAAGTAAACCCTAGAAGGGAACCCATCTCCGGCCTCTATGTCTATCCCGGGGGTGAGCTTCTTGGTGAAAGAGATCACCGATTGCTGCTTCCCGGGCACTCTCGACCCACCGGACTGGTCCTTGTCCTCTGATAATGGCATCAGATAGTTCAACCCCGGGAGCCCTTCGAAGAACAGGGTGTTGTGCAGCTCCGGCAGCTTCGTCCCGTTGAAGGAGTAGACGCGCTCGTAACCCTGGAAGGCCCGCCGGAGCTGGACGGCGGCGAACCAGTCCTTGAATGTGTACCCCTCCCAGTTGAAGATGGTGATCCTCGCCGTCCACCCATTTCTGTAGTTGGAGTAGATGTGCCAGTTGATGCTGACCCCGCAGAAATCCCCGCAGGGGAGAGGGTTTGGCACAGGCCGGTGCTTGATACTGGCCCAGGCTTTGGCCTTTGCTGTCCTGTTGTTGAACGGCACGAGGAGGGCCTCCGAGGGGAGCAGCAGCGGCGGCGCGTCGGCGTCGCAGACGAGCCCGTCGGCGCAGCCGCAGGCGCAGGTGCCGCACGGCACGACGGAGTCGTTGTAGTACGCCGAGAAGGAGACGCAGCAGCGGGAGGCCTTGGCCTTGGGGCGGGTGATGTTGCAGACCACCTGCCAGCTCGCGACGGCGGTGGAGACGGCGTCCAACCTTGAAGGGTCCGGGAACTCCATGGGGCTGACCCTTTGCGGCGGCCCGCAGAGGTAGTCTGGGTTGAGGACGCCGGCGATCTTCCAGTTCTTTGGGGGGTAGAGAGCTGTGCGGTTCATGTCCGGGGGGATCTTGAAGACGAGGAGCTGGAAGATGGCTTTGGACTTGGTGGAATTCATGGTGGGGGGGAGTAAGGAGCCGTTCTTGCAGCAGAAGGGGATCTTTCCGATCTGGTCGTCATCGACGCGTTCTGGGGGGAGGTCGGCGATGACCGGGCGGCGCTGGCAGTTGAGGACGGCGGCGAAGTCGAGGCTCTGGTAGAAGGTGGAGGCCTCGCCGTAGATGCAGGAGGAGGCGTCCTTGAGGTGGGTGTAGGCGCCCTTCATGCTGTAGATGAACTCGCCTCGCTTCCACTCCCAGGTGAGGTTCCAGTTGTCGAGGCGGCCCAGAGGGTTCCAGTTGTCGAGGGTGACCTGGGCCAGGTACTTGCCCTCGAAGGCCTGAAGGACGTCGTAGGCGATGGTGAGGTCGCCGGCCCTCTGTGGCAGGAACTTAGTCGCGCCGTCTTGTTCGCCTTGAACTTGGGGTACTACTGCAGCACAGATACATCACGCTCCCTACTCGCACACAGATATGGACAAATACGGTCTAGATATAAAACATAAAAGCATATGATCACAATAACAATGAAAACTCAATTTTTGGTTATCAATGAGAACAAATAGAAAAGAATCACTAAGCAATTAGGAATTCTAATGAGAACAAGACTTCCACCAAGCACCTTTAACTCATGTTTCAATGCCTTCAAAATGACTCGCATACTAGAGAGTCAACAATTGACTCTTATCTCCTTCTATAAAGACTTCATCTGCAATAGAAGAAAGAGAAGATATCAAGAATAGGAATAGAGTTGATAAAAAGAAATAATAGAATCAAGAGAGAGATAGTCATCCATCGTACCCAAAAAAGAGAAATACATGCCCTATTTATAGAAATAAGAAAAAATAACTACTCTCTAAAAGGAAGTATCTCGATTTACATGTAGTTGAACCCACACATTTCAAATGTGACGAATGCAACCACTCTTTTTCTCTCTCTACATGACCCTCAAAACAAGTTATAATGGTTGATGTGACTATCATGTCATTGCCCCCTTACTCCTTGCACACCTCTCGAGCGAGTTAGATAGGAGAGCTCTCTCTCACGTCTCTTGAACGGTTGAGATGGGAGAGATTCTCTCACACGTCTTCCGAACAAGTCAGCCGTGATAGACTAACACTGTCAACAAACTCCACCTTGGCAGTCATCATCGCTGCACCAAGAGTCGACGTTTGTCCATACTACAAGTTCTTCACCTTCTGTAAAGTACTTACAATATGAATCAAATTCAAACAATAATTGAACTACTCCAATGTGATGACCTTCATCAACATATATGCGGCATTCTACTCTATGTGAACCTTTTCTAGAGAGATATCTCTAGAATTCACCAACTCATAGATCTTGCGATATTACACATCAATGTGCTTCAATTACATATGATAAACCTGATTCTTTGTTAAGTAATTAGCATTCTGACTGTCATAATACAAAGGAACTTCACCTTGTCGGATCCCAAGCTCACTTAATAATCCCTTCAACTATAAGGCCTCTTTGGCTGTTTTAGTAGCTGCCATATATTTCGCCTTAGTTGTAGATAATACAACAGTAGTATGAAGTGTAGACTTTCAACTAAGAAGTCTATCAACCATGGTAAAAACATATCCCATTGTAGATCTTTGATGACCTAAATGCTTGAAAAAATCTGCATTAACAAAGTCAACAATAGAAAGATAATTTTATCAGTCAAAATAGATTTCAAAATTTAAAAAACTCTTTAGATATTGGAGAATTTATTTCACTATGCTTCAATGCTCTTTTCCTAAATTACTCATAAATCTGTTCACAAGCCGAACTGCAGGAACAATATCTGGTTTGATACAAACCATAACATACATGAGAGAGCCAACCGCATTAATATAAAGAATTTACTTCATCTCAATAATATCTTCTTCAGATGTAGAATACTTAGTAGATAATCTGAAATGACTAACTAGAGGAGTACTCATTGTTTTAGTATTACTCATCCTAAATAGATCCACCACCTTTGAAAGTTGACTCCTTTAAGTCAATCATAGTTGACCTAATTCTCAATCTCTATGGATCTCTATATCAAGAATCTTCTTTACCACACCAAGATTCTTTATGTCAAATTCTTTTCCTAATAGTGACTTCAATCTAGCAATCTTATATGAATTTTTCGAAACAATAAGTATATCATCACCACAGAACATCAAAATAATCAGATAACTATCATCACAAGTCCTCATATAAATAGAAGAGTCAAAATCATACCTCGTATAGTCAATCTTTAACATATAAGAGTCAAACTTTTTATACCATTACCTTGATGCCTGCTTCAACTTATAAAGGTACTTTTTTAGTTCACAAATAAGATGTTCTGACCCTACATAATGAAATCCTCCAATTGTTGCATGTAAATAGCCTCCTCCAAATCTCTATGAAAGAACATCATTTTCACATCCAACTATTCAAACTCTATATCTTCATATGCGACAATGGCTCACATCAAGCGAATAAACATGTGCTTCACAATTGGCAAACATGTCCTTCACTATAATAAATTCTTTACTTCTGTGTAAAGCTTTTTACAACAAGCCTTGCCTTGTACTGAGGTTGATCACTATCAATTATTAGTGACTTTTTCTTATACACCCATTTGCACCTAATAACTCATTTCCCTATAGGAAGATCCACTAATTCTTAAGTGTGGTTCTTATCTAAGAATGCTTACTCCTTTAGACATTGCTTACATCTACTTCTCCTTTTCAAGACAACTAATTATCTTTTGAAAAGTTGTGAGCTCATCATCTTCTATAAATAATGCAAAGGTAACATAATCATCAAGACGAGTAAGAAGTCTTATTTTACGCTTACTCCATCTACTAATAATATAATCAAGAACATCTGATGATTTTGCAACTCGATCTCCATCTTCACTTACAACAGAACTAAGAAGACTTTACACAATCTCCACCTCCAGCCTTGCTCTATCTACAACTTAAATATTATCAGATTGTTAAACCTTTTGCTTTGTAGAAAAAGACTTCAACATATGATCTTCATCAAAAATCACATCCCTATTGAAAATAACTTTCTTCGCATTTGAATCCCAAAGTCGATATCCCTTCATGCTAGTGCTATAGCCCACTAAGATACATTTCTTCGACTTTGGATTCAACTTTCATCTCTCATCAACAAGTGTAAGAACATATTTTGAACATTAAAATATATTCAAATTCGAATAGTCAATAGGATTTTCAATCCATACATCTTCAGCAACCCTCCCATCAAGAGCAGAATTTGGTTATCTATTTACCAAATAAGCTACCATACTCATAACTTTTGCCCAAAATTTCTTGGGCAAAACATTCAGCCGTAAACACCATGCTTTCTCAATAATTGTGCGGTTCATCTACTCAGTAACACTATTTTATTGTAGAGTTTTCTTCACTGTATAATAACATTGAATACTATGCTCATCACAAAATTGATCAAATTCAGAATTCTTAAATTCTATACCATTGTCAGTCCGTAAGATTTTGATCTTTTTTCCCATCTGGTTCTCTACCTTCACACACCAAGTCTTGAATTTTGTAAATACTTCAAACTTGTGTTTCAAGAGGAATATCTAAACTTTATTGAAAAAATCATCAACAAAGGTTAGAAAATATCGAGCACCACTCATCGATGTCACATCAACTAGACCACACACATTTGAATGAACATAATCTAGCACATCACCCGTATCATACTTTGTTACTTTGAATGTCACTTTATACTATTTTCCCATGATACAGTACTTGTAAAAAATCAATTTGCAAGTTCTCACACCAAGTAGTAGTCCTTGTGCATATAGCTTTTGCATACTTATCTCACTCATATAACTCAATCACAAGTGCTATAAAAGTGTGTCATCAATCATGAAATCATTTGGTGTCACAACACAAGCTTCACCTACAATGTTATTCCCCTCAAGTTTATAAATATTCACTCACTGACGTCTTCTCTTCATTATAACAAGTGATTCCTTTATAATCTTGAGGATCCCATTATTTCTTTTGAAGCAACATTCATTCGCTTTCAATACTCTAAGTGAAATCAAATTTTGGTACAATGTTAAAATATAATAAATATTTTCAAGCTTTCAAATCATTCCGTCAAACATTCTAACCTTCATTGAACTAATGCCCACAACTTCGCAAGTTATATTATTTTTCATAGAAACAACTCTTGCTGTACTCTTGTACGATTCTAACTAGTTAGTATTAGGACACATATGATAAGAACAACTAGTATTAAGAATCTGTGTTCAACAAATCTTTAGCTACAACAAGTTCAGAATAGACTTCAGCATCTTCTCTATCCTCAACCTTTGCAACATTAGTCGAACTAGATTCACCCTCTATTGTCTTATTACTTTGATTCTTTGGACAATCTCTTCACAAGTGTCCATTTTCATGACATTTGTGATAAGTTTAGTTTTTTAATCAATTTATCCATGACTTGGACCGACTCTTCTTATCTCTTGATGATTCTTTCTCCTTCTACCTTTCACGTTTTCTTCCACCCTTCACATATAAACCTTCACTACAAGCCTTACCAACATCCTTCTTTTGATGATAATACTCCATCAATAAGTCAAGAACATCTTCAAGAATAGGTTTTGTATTGTCATGTAACAAGGTCGTAACAAGATGATTGACACAACTTTGTCGTTGTAAAGTAAATCATGTAAATTTAAAATTTATAAAACTATAAAATACTAATTTTTAAATATTTAGAAGTATTTATGAAAAAATATATCAATTATAATTCAATAAAACTTTTAAAAATAGTGATAATTTTTCAAGTCAGTCATAGGGATGTAATAATATATCTGATAATGTTTTAAAATTTTTCTCAAAGAATACGATTTTCTATGAATTTTGTACTAAAAAATGAAAATAAAATATATTTAAATTTCACAAAAATAGAAAATAAGGGTGCAGACATCATGATGACATCAGCACTCGACGAATGCGAATCGAGTGGAAATAGAGTTCCACCCGATGATTTTTACGTAAGTGATTATAAATAATTTAATTGATCAAATTAAGATTTGTAAAAGTCAAAAGAATCATAATTGAATGAAGTATAGCTTAGTAAATTTAAATCACACAAATTATCACTAAATGAAGTAAAAATTAAGTTGAAAGGAGGAAAACAGAGTTTCGACGTCATGGCGGCGATGCATCAGTAATGCATCAGAATCTTGAGTGTTTGAAAAGATCATCGTGTAGTGTCCACGACCTCGAAGACTCTCCTTGGACAAGGATGACGTGGGCAATCTCTAGATCTCCTTGCGAAGTCTAGAGATCAATGAAATAGGTCATTGAATTATCACTGGTAGCTGTCACCCGACGGAGTAGAAAAATAATGACTTTGCAGCTCTCTAGCGGCTATCACCTAACAAAGAGGAGCTAGATGGAGGTGGGGCGTGTGTCAAGGAGCTTCATCCTCAAGTCTGCACAGCAAGATGAGGCTCTTCATCACATCTAGTATGCTCTCAAGAGATGGGGACTCATCTCTCGACAGATCGTCCTCTTCCCGACGACAACTTATTTGTTGATCAATCAAAGATGATTTACTCGATAGATTCATGATCTTTTTATCACAAATCTTTCAATAATTTTAGTAACAATGTTCTACGAATCACATTGACGAGATTTTTGCCGATGATCCAGTGATTTTGACGGCTTAATCCTTCACTGACGATCTACAAGAAAGTCGCGATAATTAGATAAAAATACGAGTTTTGGCTCTAGGAGGATTTGAACCCATGTCAGTTGTCCGCCTTCGAAGCCTTTCAGGAGAAGGTGTGACGTGGATTTAGTCCCACATCACTTTAGGCAAATAAATATTAATATCACATTTTCAAACAATGAGTCCCTTTCTCCTATGTGTACAACCACTCCTTATCTCACAACCAGTTGGACATTAGTGACGTGGAAGGGGAGTGATGCATGTGTGCCCCCATCGGTCTTAGCCACTCAAGCCCCTGCTCATGGCTCCCCTCGACTGCACTTCAAACCTACTTGCAGGCCCAGCTGGCCAGCGAGTCCCCCCATTTTTTTATATTTTTATTTTAATTTCTTTTTCTTCATTTATCTCAAAAATAAGACTATAAAAGTTATATAAATTTGTGAAAAAACACATAATTATCCAAAAATTTACATTAATTAGTTGAAAACTACTTTTCATAATTTAACACAAATATAAGTCTATTTATCATGAGTTAAGGTTAAAAATATATTATTTACTAATTATTAACTCATTATAATGAAGACTTGTCACACCCCCCCCAACTTAAATCATTGCTAGTCCCTTAGCAATGAAATTCTGAAAATAAAAATTCACAAATCTCAAACATGATATTTCAATACATAAAAAAAAATATAATTAGAAATGATACACCTTTAGACACTTTTGATTCTTATATCAAGTATTTAAGAATGATGTTAAGCACTTAAATGTTTAACCACTCCTTGGAATAACAATCTAGACTTCACTTCTTCTATTCACATCTTTATCACTTCTTTAGTCATAGATATATTTACAAGATGTTTTAATTATCAATACTCATCTAAGAATAATATTGATCTTACATTTTCCTTTTTCTATGGCTTGATTTTTTAAGTTTGCACTATATTTCTTCTTTTTTTATTATATATATATATATATATATATATATATATATAGTCGATAAGTAGCTTTTCTTGTAGACAAATTTCGACAATAAGAATGATGTCTCATACCCTCCATATGTACTCTTCATTTTTAGGGCTTTCACTTTATTCACTTATGTTGCAGCAAGTGTTTTTCTATGCACGATTTTTGACAATGAGAATGATGTCTCACACCCTCCATGTGTACTCTTCGTTTCTAGATTTTTCACATTACTTTTTTTTTATTTTAAATAAGTGATTTCTTCTCACAAGTCCAATAAATCATGATGTAAAAATCTCTTTTAAACTCAAATGATCAATCAAATTTTTACATCAAGTAAATATTAACCATCAAGATCATGAAGTGAAAATCTATAGAATCAAATCCATGTTATCTATCATGTATCCAAAGAGTATTCCAACATTTCATGCTACTAAATCATTCTTTTAACTCAATAATAATCTTCTTGGTATCTTTTGATATCAATCAATCTAATTGATTTAATTTTTCATGCATGTAATATGATGTAAGAAATTTATAAATTAGATAGTTTTGATAGTTCTACTTTCTATTTTCAATTTTGTTTTTAATAATAATAAATTTATCAAAAATAAATCAAAACTATCCTCTTTATAGCTGTAATTTCGAATTTCAGTAATATATGTCTAGGGGATTGAAATGTGAGAAAAGGGTCTCTAGAATTTCAAATTTTAGGCTGTTTTTTCTCTATTGTTTTTGAGAGTCTATTGTTCTTGACAGAAAACTAGAAAATAGATGTTGTAGTTTTTTCGAATTTTTCTTTTTAGTTGCTATTCTAAGTGAACATGAAAATAAAAATAAAAATATAAACACATGTTCTTAATCATCCTACAACATAAATTATGAATTAATACTTCACTCCCCAACTTAAAAATGACATTGTCCTCAATGACACAGAAAAATCGGAATAAAATATGTAAAAAATATAATTTTCAAGTGAAGCATGCATATATGTAAAGTTAAATACTAAAAATATTGTCATAAATGATAAAGCTCAGAAAGACATCACCTCAACCTCGTTTTTAATTCTTCACTTCATCCTACACTCCTCTTACGATTTTTTGAAAACAAACAAATGTAGAAATAAATACTGTAAAATTTTAAGAAAAATAGAGCTTCTAAAAAAATCAAATAGAATGAAATAAAAACCATGGGTTGCCTTCCATGTAATGCTGAATTTAATGTCTTCAGCTGGACAACTTTTAAAATATAAGATGATATATGACCATCAAAATATATTTGTATCCTAAGGTAAGTTTCATGATATTCTTTTTTAGATTTTGCATAAATTCATATATTTTATATATACCTTGACATACTTTAATCCAAAAAAAAGAAATTAACAAAAAATTTCAAAAAAAATATTTCTATTTTGAAAATAATATTTCCTCATTTATATCTTGTTTTGTAAGGCTCTCATTCATTAATAAATACTTTCTATTAATAAATCATAAAATGTGATCAAGCCATATAATTTTCAAATTAGCTATTACCCAATCTAGAATTTTTTCATCTAAATTGATTTCTCTAATTCTTCTAGTCACCCATTTCTTAATATGTTCTTTTATTTGCATAATCTTCCCCTACTCCATTTTATCTTCCATATATATATTTGTTCAATTTGCAAGGAGTGAAATATTTCAAGCTTAGAAATAATTCTAATGGGCTGTGGGTTTTGGAGGATGAAAGGATTGTCTTTTTTAATCTCAGATCTAATAAGTTTAGTAAAATTCAAATTTTCTCTTTCAAAATTTTCTCTATCTTCATATTCGTTATTTTTTTTTCTCCCCATTAGTTGAATCAACTCTTATTCTAACTTTTCGTTTCTCAACTCATTAAATTCTATATTTATTTTTGTTTCTCTAAAATTTAACTTGACTTAGTCGTTGTATACTAAATCATGTAAACTTAAAATTTATAAAACTAGAAAACACTAATTTTTAGATATTTAGAAGTATTTATGAACAAATATATCAATTATAATTTAATAAAACTTCTAAAAATAATGATAATTTTCCAAGTCGATCATAGAGATGTAATATAATATTGAATAATTATTCAGAATTTTCTTCAACTCTTCTAGTTCATTTAGTTGTAAAATTCTTTGCCCACCAACTAATTTTTCATCTATAGATAAAATTTTTATAGCCCATAATACTTTATGCTCTATTTTCACAAGAAGATGACATAACTTTTCAAAAATGAGATGAATAAGGACATACCTATGGGATTTTTATAAGTTGTTCTATAAGCCCATAATGCATCTTATAATTTCGTAGGCTAATCTTTCTTATCTGGTCTAACTATTTTTCTCAAAATTCTCAAAATTTTCTTATTTGCTACTTCAGCTTGCCCATTTATTTGGGGATAATATGGAGTAGCTACTCTATGATGTACTCCATTCTTTTTCAATAGTTCCTTGAAATATTTATTTGTAAAATGTGTTTCTCCATCACTAATAATCACTCTAGGACATTCAAATCTCAAAAAAATATTTCCTTGCATAAACTTCATCACGATTTTATGATCATTAGTTCTAGTAAGAATAGCTTCCACCCGCTTAGACACATAATCAACAACAAGTAAAATATATTCATATTTTTCAGCTGATGGGAAGGGACCCATGAAATCTATTCCCCATACATAAATTTTTTTGACTACTAACATGTTACTTATAGGCATTTCATCTTTTTTACTCATGTTACCTATAGATTGGCATGAAATACATGTCCTACTAAATTCTATAAAATCTCTTATGATTGTAGGTCAATAAAAACCACACTGAAAATTTTTTACAGCTGTTTTTTGTCTAGAGAAATGTCCTCCACAATTAGATGAATGGCAGACCTTAAGAATGCTATGATATTCTTCTTCAGGAACACATCTTCTTAAAATTTGATCATTGCCCAAGTAAGATAAATCAGGATCATGCCAAAAATAATTTCTAATCTTAGAAAAGAAATGATGTTTTCTGTTCTGATCCTACTATTCTGAAATTTTTCTAGAAACCAAAAAATTAATAATATGTGCATACCATCGTGATGGTTGATGTTGAGCTGACATCAATTGTTCATCTAGAAATGTATCTTGTAAAGGTGCTGTATTTTTTCTTGTATCACTCAATCTAGAAAGATGGTCAGCAACAACATTCTCAAAACCTTTTTTATCTTTTATTTCTAAGTCAAATTCCTACAACAATAAAATCTATCTAAATAAACATAGCTTTGCATCTTTCTTATTTAATAAATATTTTAATGCTTCATTATTAGTATAAATAATAATTTTGGCTCCCAAAATATATGATCTAAACCTTTCTAATGAAAATACTACAGCTAACAACTGTTTTTCAGTTGTGATATAATTTAATTGAGCATCGGATATAGTTTTACTAGCATATGACATTACTATGGGTTTTGACTCTTTTGTTTGTCCTAGAACGGCTCCCATTGCATAATTTGATGCATGACATATTATTTCAAAAGGAAGGGACAAATTAAGAGCTTGTAAAATAGGTGTCTCAGTAAGTAATTTTTTTATTTTAGAAAAAGACTCAAAATATTTCTCGTCAAAATTAAAAGACACATCTTTAGATAATAACATGGTGAGAGGTTTAGAAATTTTCAAAAAATCTTGAATAAATTTTCTATAATAACCTGCATGACTCAAGAAAGATCTAATCTGTTTTACTGAATTTGGAGGTTTTATTTTAGATATAATATTAAGTTTTGCTCTATTCACCTCTAAACCCTTTTCACTCACAATATGACCTAACACAACTCCCTCTCTAACCATAA